TTTCCTCGCATATGGTGATACATCACGTGAATTGTAGCGCTATTTTCCAAGCAACTGTATTGTTTAAATCTTAAGAGAGCTTCAAACCGTTTTAAGTTCTTCTATAGTTTTTAAAGAACATTACAGAAGAGAAGGGTGTAGCTCAGTGGTAGAGTGTGTGCTTAGCATGCAGAAGGTCCTGGGTTCAATCCCCAGTGCCTCCATTAATAAACACATCAATCTAATTACCTTCCCCCCAACCATCACCAAAAAAGGACCTTACGTAGTTCACCACTAGTGGTATTCAGTCCTATTTTTCACTCGTAATACCAAGTGAAATACTTCCCTTGAGATCTATAGGAATTATTCACCGTTAGACATGAACTTCACAAGAAACGCATCAGGAAAAAATGGAGGGAAACCTGGCTAGCTGTCGGCCGTTTCTTGGGATCCCACTGAAGCATGTCTCTCAGGAGCTGAACTGCTTCGCTGCTGGCATTTGGAATCAGGGTCTTCAAGTTATTGGGGACACACTGGGGCCAGCGGAAGTTCATAGCAGTTGAAAGTTGGTAGCCTTCAGGCCAGTCCGTCTGAAAGAAGGAAAAGGTGGGAAACCTTACTCAGCCAGTCGCTGTGATAGGACTTGATATCCTGGCCTGTGTGTGTATAACAGAAAGGTGACCTGTCATCACCACAGCCACCTTCAGGATGGTGGCGCTCTGGGTGCTGAAACACGGAGGATGCTAATGGAGAGACACAAAGGACAGGAAGGCTGGGGATAGTGGGAAAGACTCTGGATTTACCACTAACTCGCTTTTAACTTTCACACAAGACGGTTCAGCTCTTGAGATTTGAAGGCTGAACCAAATTAGCATTTTCCCCATTGCATTCCACGAGACAGAGGTTTTAGAAACTGTAATGAGGTATCTGGGGAGCGAGGAATACAGCAAAACATCTTGTTCTTGGTCAGATTAATTTGAGAAATCCTACATATTACTAGATCCCCATCTTGATGATTCAGAGTCTACATGCTGAGAAACCCAGCAGTCAAGACAGCTGCTTCATCTCAAGCCCTCCTCTTTTCCATGCATCAGAACTACAGGACACAGCACTGGAATGAAGGACAGAAGATGCAGCACAAGCAGTCCTCAAGGCCCCTTTTAGTTCCAACTACTCTTTTACAAGACACATTCCGATGTCATCGCTTTTTTTTTTAAAGGGAAGTGTCAGAAGGTATAGCTG